TGTATGTAAAATAATGTATGTATAAAAATAGATAAACATGTATGTGTAAAAACAATAGATACACATGTATATTTAAAAAGAATAGATATACATGTATAATTAAACGAACGGAGATATATATATGGGTACTTATAAAAATGAATGATGAACAATTCTGTATAGGTTATGTAGACTTTTGCTGACATGCTGTAACATTCGAAACGCAGTTTTAATGTCAGAGCGCTCTATGGGAAATAGAGTACACAAGTCAAATGTCCAATAACGAGACCTCGCTGGCTAAAGTACACCAGTCAAATGTCCAATAACGAGACCTCGCTAGCTAAAGTACATCAGTCAAATGTTCAATAACGATACCTCGCTGGCTAAAGTACATCAGTCAAATGTCCAATAACGAGACCTCGCTAGCTAAAGTACGTCAGTCAAATGTCCAATAACGAGACCTCGCTGGCTAAAGTACATCAGTCAAATGTCCAATAACGAGACCTCGCTGGCTAAAGTACATCAGTCAAATGTCCAATAACGAGACCTCGCTTGCTAAAGTACATCAGTCAAATGTCCAATAACGAGACCTCGCTGGCTAAAGTACATCAGTCAAATGTCCAATAACGAGACCTCGCTGGCTAAAGTACATCAGTCAAATGTCCAATATCGAGACCTCGCTGGCTAAAGTACATCAGTTAAATGTCCAATAACGATACCTCGCTGGCTAAAGTACATCAATCAAATGTCCAATAACGAGACCTCGCTAGCTAAAGCATACCAATTAATGAATCGATTGTTATAAAATCTGTTTAAAGAGATAGGTAACTGTCACAGGAACACCGCAAGCACCTAGATCATTCATTTCAAACCTATTAAAAGCGACATTTGGGCAGCCAAGAGAGGTCATTTTCTTCGCATCATTTGCAATACTTGTTGAACATGATTTTACATATGTTGAACTGCAAACTAATTAATGTTTATGCATTCAGTCCAATACTGACTTTAATTTTTTCTGTTCATTTTCAGGATTTTGAACTGACTGCAAGCCTCATTCACAATGCCTAGAGGAGGATTCAACCTGAAGGCTACGTCTACTTTAGCCTTGCTAATTCTAGTTGGTGTGATTGTTGTGTATCGTATATCTGCGCAGACTGGCCAGAATATTAGTAGACCTGTACCGAAGAATACGTCTGCAAACAATGTATTAACTTCCCAAAAGCCACCTTAAAAACACAGTTTGGAGATACTCCAATATTCATATATCAGAGTGCAAGTGACAACTGGGTTTCTGGAGTTATTAAAACGACTGGTCATTTCGAGGCTGCAAAAACTAACGGAATAGCAGCACTACTTCAGACCGATTCAAATTTGAACTTAATTGTTATCGGTGCTAATATAGGCGTACATACTTTAGCTATCGCAAAAATGGGTCGGAAAGTACTAGCCGTAGAGGCTTTAGACAAAAACATTCAGCATCTTTGTGCTTCCGTCACAGCTGGAGATATGCAGCATGACGTCACTATTGTTTACAACGCAATATCCGATGAGCATATGAGGGTTAAACTTGGTGTTGATAAGAACAATATTGGCGGTACGTATGTCGATGTGGACTCTAAACACATTAAAGAAGTAGTGCAATATGGTTACAAAACCGAAATAAAATCACAGAAATACCTTACAAAATAACGGAAAACAAAGAAATTTTTTTCCGACGTATCGTTTTAGTGTAATTGGTGTAAATGTAATGCCCGTACGAAAACATACCTTTAAAAAAGCAAAATTAGGGAAATCCCCTTTTTCACCGGAAGTGACGTAGTATGAGCAACATAGACGCGCTGGATTCGACTTCACTGTTATCAACAACAAGGTAAACACTGATCGAAATTTGCCGGAATCCGAGTAGTTTTCGTTATTCCAAGGTTTAGACGGTAAAGACTATTATTATCAGGATCATTTGGTGAAAAAAGATCCCTTGGATATGGCAAGTTCTCGCCACAAGGGCCGCCGTTATGTAGTAGCTGGGTGTAGTAACACTGCGGGTGATGGCGTTTCAGTACACACATTCCCATCGGATAGTCGAACTAGGAATGCATGGAAAAGGTTTGTGAAGCTGACCAGAGCAGACTGGGAAGAGCCTTCGAGGCAGGGTGCCATTTGTAATGCCCATTTCACACCTTCATGTTTCGACGCGCAGTATGACTTGAAGGCGAGCTTAGGATTTAGCACAAAGAGACGTCTCAATATATCCTAAGAGGGATCATGATCAGCTAAACGAAGGTTTTTTTATCTTCTCCAGAGAAGAAGCCAAGGGGGGCTTATGCAAAAAGAGAAAGCTCCAGGGTAAGAATGATAAATTATTTTACAATATTAGCATGACATTAGGGAAATCCTTTTTTCTGTAAAAAAGTACATTTACAGGTACTTATAGTAGGGGATCCATCCAATCCCATTTGTACTTATTTGACAAAATCATTATAAATATTGGAATCTTAAATTTCAAGTATGAAAAACTGCGTTATTAAATAATCATGACAATTAATAAAATCAATGAAAATTAATAAAATAAACATGATAAATGGAAATTAATAAAAAAAAAAAAAAAAAAAAAACAATTTAGTATAATTTTATACGGGGATCAGTTCCCTAAAGCAAACTTGAGAAATACTGGGTCCCCTTAAAATGTAATACTTCAACCAAAATGCTATATCTATATTCTTATGCCATTGAAAAGAAATACTATATGGGCATATCGTACGTGTACCTAATCGCTAATGTATATATATCAATAGCATATTTTACAAACGATAATATACATGTATTATGTGGTAGTATATTTGTTGCTGTACTGTATGTTAGGTACGGTACTGTAATATACAGTATAATTCTGTACAGCATATTCACTTGAAATGCTTTCAATGAGAATATTATTTATGTGAAGACATAACCCAACCTTTACTCAGAAACGTGTGCAACATTTTTTTTTTTTTTATTTTAGGTTTTGTCAGAACTGATCACAGCTCAAACTGTCCAAAGTGTGACTGCTTCAGAATACTGCTATTCTCCATCTTGAAATTGATGTGTATGTGTTGCTCATACTACGTCACAACACTTCCGGTTCTATATTTAGCAAAACCGGAAGTTGCGTTGATTGTTTTTCAAACAGGTGCAAAACGGCAAAATTCAAGCTGGTATATCTCGGCAAATACTTGACCGATTTTCATACTTTTTTTAAAATTTTCATTTATTTGTATTCCCTTTCTCAATAACGAAGTGAAGATTGGCGTCACACTACTTCTTTAAAGACCTAAAGGAAGGTCGCGCACAGGGCACGTACGCAGAAGTGGACACTATTACAATGGACGACCTTGTGGAACTTCCGGTTTTTAAGAATTTTTCTAAGGTTATAGTAAAAATGGATATTGAAGGATTTGAACATAAAGCTATATATAAATCAGAAAAGTTCTTCAAAGCAGTAGATGTTCTGGCATTCATAATGGAATGGGAGTTTCACAGAAAGATGTCGTCAGGAGGCGATATACTAAAGCGCATGAAAGACTTAAAATTTGAACCATACCGTGTCGAGAATCCTTCTGCACGACTCTCAGTAGAATCCAGTGATTCTTGCCCGTACCATGTTTTATGGCGTCCAGCTAAATAATTGAATAGTAGATAGTTTATACTTGTTACTTTAAATAAACATATGCAATCATTATCATAGTCAAACAACAGTCCCCTTTTTTGTCAGTATATTGAGTTTCCGTTTACCTTGGCAAAAAGGACAATAATAAGACAATATTGTGCCTGTTTACTTCAGAAGTTATAAAGCATTGGCTTCGTATGACACTTAGTAGCAATGCTAAGAACAAGTCTGCGTGAAGTGTTGTCTTTAAACTATTTATCAAAAACCAAGAGGCCAGAGGTCATGATATTTGACGTAAAGCATATTGCGATCCAAAAAAAATTGTTCATATGAATGACCTTTATCCACTTTCAAGGTCACAGGGGTCCAATGTTATGAGATCTTTAAATGATATCTCAATTTAAACCATTGGATGGCAGTTTGCTTATATAGACATGTTGGACGAGATGGACCTCAGGGACTGATGGATGGTGTCAAAAGTAGACAAATCGACTGAAATTTGTCAAATTCAATGAAATATTTCTCAGGTGGCTATTCAGACCCTTGGGCCTCTTGTTCTAACGACCGTTTTCCTCTTTATACTTGTACTAACAGAAAGTAGTGTTACCGGTTAGGGTGGTCGGCTATTAATATTAATATTAATTCCATAATTGAGTAAATAGTATCACAAAAAAAGACGGATAGTATCTGAGGAAAGCATACATAGTACGCCGAAACATGTCAACTATAAAACAGTTTTTTGATTCTACGGATGTTGTCTGGCCCTCTATATTTGTAGTATCACGAAAAGATTGTAACCAAGATTTAGTAGTACTAAGAATAGCAGTTAATAGTTTAATAAAGGATTGGTTGAACATTTAGACGAGCAAGCAATAAAACGTTGTTTTTGTGGATTCTTGTGAAGATTTACATGAAAAAATCCTAGCAGGGCCGGTATTGTTGAAAACATTCTCATGTTAAAGCATGAAATATGTAATTCACTGATTCTTCTTTAACAGGCAGGGGAACTGTGGTAACAGGCTGTCCCTGTAGTTGTGGGCTAGGGATGATGTCACACACGATACCAAGATCCCTAGTTTTTGGTCCGCTTACCTGATATTCTTCAAATTGAAACAAATACAATGTACGCTTGTATTACTGCATGTAGCATGATACAAATGAAACTCTTGGAACACTATGTACAGTAATTTCACTTAATGGAAAAATTGAAAATTTTATAACAAGTTCTCCTAATCCAGTTAATATCCAGTCAAAGGAAAATGAATTTCATAAAATTACCTTTATTCTTTCCTTTAAATTTTGTCTGTGTGTAATGAGACCTTTGCGACGGTCGAGATAAACTCTTCTGGGAAGCAACTGACTTTGATTTAGGCTCCTCTCATGTGACAGTTACCTGAAAAAATCAATAACATATAACATATATTCATAACAAGTAAATATATCTAAATGTGACAAAAAAGTAAATAAAAACCTGTATTTTTTTTCCAAAAATAATTGCTGTCATAATGATGTGACAATGCACTAAAACAATACCCAGATAATTGAAATTAAAAAAATAGTTACTGTTATCTATCATTTGTTACGGCAATTAGAATTATGGATTAAATGTGATAAATTCATATTACATATTAACTTTTATTATGCTAATAAATTAAACCTTACCTCCGTGCTTGATTCCCTGTCTGGTTCTGCTTCTTGATTTATATTTTCTGATTCATTCTCAGCTTCATCATATTCTCTCATCATCTATTATAGTAAAAATAATTTTAGTAATAAGTACTAAATTACTAATCACAACAGGGAATTTTCTTTCTTGAATAGAAATTTCAACATGTAATATTAGTCAGAATAAGTAAACACACAAAGATACTCACTCGTTGGATGTCACGTTTGACGAATGCTGACCTAGGCCTTTTGACAGAAGACTTGGGTGTTGTAACATCATCAACAAAAGATCCTCGTTTACCAGGTTGTGGCGTAGTTGCTGTCAAACATGTAGGGTATATAGTGGGCACTGCATTTTCGTTCAGCGTTTTCTTAATTGTTTTCCCACTTGATTCGAGCAGTCCCAAACGGAATTTCAGGGGATAACAATCCTCTTGGAAATGAGCGCTGCACAATACGGAGTGTCGAGTAGGCTTCCAGTCTTTTCGTTTTCCCATTGACGGTGGATATCAGGCCTCTTTGTCGGGAAATTGTGCAGAGAAACACCATTAGCTTTAGTGTTCGTACATCGTACCTGCCACGCAACGTCGACCATAACGTGATCCCGGTGTGGGTTTTTTTTTTTTTTTGTAATTATCTTCATCATGTCGCTATAAAATATCGCTTCAATATGTCAACTCTGTCTCTGGCGGGCCACTGTTCTTACGTCACTTTCGGTCCAAGAAATAAAATTGGGATTTTACGGTTTGTATTCAGGTGTGATTTTCAAAAAATCAGCGATAACTTCGTAATTTACTTTTTTTCCCCGAATTTCTCTATAAATTTAATTTTCTCATTACAAAACATTTTTTCATTTTAGACCGTGTACCAGCACTAAAGCTCCACTTTAAATTAAGAAATAGCACTTTAAAAGAAAATCTTAAATATTGAAAACAATATCTCAGTTGATATTCCTTCACATTTTTCAGAGAAAAATCATATATCAGATTTGTCACAGAAAGTATTATATTAGAACTTGGACAAACGTGCGGTTTCATAATCAACCTCAACTACAGTAGACATGTAAACACGGCTTTTTATCATAATGAAAAGTCAAGAGATTTATAAAGTTCTAAAGGTGAATATGCACATTTAACATATTCATAATTTACAATAAAATTCTCCTGATTATCAAGATTTAACCTTCCATGGCGACTTTGTTAATAAAGCAAAAAGCATACACTATCAAACATTAACATCAACAAACAAAGATATCAACCAACATAAACATCAACAAACATAGACATCAAAAAAGTAAACATCAACAAACATAGATATCAACCAACGTACACATCAACAAACATACACATCACCAAACAAAGATATCAACCAACGTACACATCAACAAACATAGATATCAACCAACGTACACATCAACAAACATAGATATCAACAAACATAGATATCAACCAACGTACACATCAACAAACATACACATCAACAAACATACACATCACCAAACAAAGATATCAACCAACGTACACATCAACAAACATAGATATCAACCAACGTACACATCAACAAACATAGACATCAAAAAAGTAAACATCAACAAACATAGATATCAACAAACATAGATATCAACAAACATACACATCAACAAACATACACATCAACAAACATACACATCACCAAACAAAGATATCAACCAACGTACACATCAACAAACATAGATATCAACCAACGTACACATCAACAAACAAAGATATCAACCAACGTACACATCAACAAACATAGATATCAACCAACGTACACATCAACAAACAGATATCAACCAACGTACACATCAACAAAGATATCAACCAACATACACATCAACAAAGATATCAAACAACGTACACATCAACACACATAGATATCAACCGACATAGACATCAACAAACATATGTAACCCAGGGTTGCATAATACGCATATGTTATAGGTATGTTTAGGTGTCACTGTACACGTTGTTACATGTTTATGTGAAGTCCTGTGTGAACTGTACTCATGTGTTGTGTTGTGTTGAAGTAACAACATCGGGACAGTCGCGCTTCACCTGACTGGCGAAAGTGCTGACAGGTTACGAACAGCGAGCCGCACGAAATTCCTCTTTCACATTCATTGCACATGCGCACTAAGCTTTCCTGGTAAATCTATGTTCTAATACTGGTCACTCGATGCCTGGATCTCGACTCGTGAGGGTCGAGCCATTGTTTACTCCGTATAGACCCCAGGGACCGGGGAGCCTGTAAGTATTATGGCTGCGAGAGTAGAGATTATTTGTTGGAGCTGAAGTGAAAAGCACACGCGGTACCCTATCTCAACACGTGGATTTACCCGTTGCTGTTTAGGCGAGAGGGGTAGGTGTTCCTAGGGGTTAACCGTAGGTTCTAGTATTGTGTTGAGATACTCTCGTTGTTATCCGGGAGTGGTTTTTGTCCGGGGTGTTGTACCGACGAGATGATATTTCTCTCAAGTATCGCACGTGCGTCTTGTCTGGTCAAAGGTCTGTTCGCATAGGGACGAGTGGGAGCGCCCACCTGACCAAGTCGCGCGCGACAACCCTGGGTCACAGACACGCTTACCTGCTTTTCACCACACCCTCCCTTGTCAAAATTTTATAGGGTTGGTTTACTCCGGTGTCGCAGGAAATGTCCTCTAACTCCCGATTATTTATGCTGGCATGGGTGTTCCTACACTAAGAACCATTTTTCCGGCCTAAAGTAAGTGTAGTACCATACGGCTCATAGTCAGTGTGGATATAATCGGCCTGAGATCCACCCTGACCTGATGGTCCGTCATACCGGCCCAAATAGTAATGTTCCTCTGTTATTGAAACAGGTTGCGGGCGTTCTTCTCCGTCTGTTCCATGATTTCCCCAGCTTCCACGCCTCCCAATTTCTCTGCCACTCTCTGGGCGGTGATGTTAAGTTGGTGGGGGCGCTACAGGTTCTCAGCGCACTTACCGGGAAGTATGGGGCGTCTGTCTCCAGAAGGAGTCTTTCCCGAGGGATAGACCTCACAGCCTTCCTCTGCTCCTCTCTGAAATGGAAGACCAGCCCTGACATGCTGAAGTAGTTGTTAGGATAGGCCTCCAACCACAACCCCACAACTTCCTCTGTTCCAGAGAAACAGTGAAGTTGGATCTACTGGGTTGACGGAATCTTCTTGAGCTGCAAGATATCCAGGCACCGCATGAAGGCCTCTGTTCTTCAAACGGCTGTCAGAGACGTTGGTCCTGTAGATGTGGCTCATGATAACATGGGGTTCAGGGTATCTCCCCGTCTGGTAGACTGCTCCACAGTGCGAAGATGCTTGGACATCGCCTCAACCCATGTGCCTCCAACCGCCATGTTGAGCACCATGACTTTGTTACGTAGTTGTACGCGAAACAGATACGGCGTGATACTCTCGACGATGATCCCTGGTCCTTTCCACGGAGGGAATAATTTCTTGCACTTTCCTTTAACAACTCCACTGTCCAGGATATAAACCTGGACAAAGCATCAGCGTTAGAATGAAGCCTGCCTTTGCGATGTTGAATTGGCTCAACTCCTCAATCCATCGGGCTAGCTGCCCCTGTGGTTGCTAAAATCGAAGCAGCCAGGTGAGGCTGTTATGATCAGTCCTTTTTTTAAAAGGCTTGCCCAGCAGGTAGTGTCTGAACTGTCTGGTCAGTCGGACAATAACTAACTCCTTCCTTGTAGTACAATACTGTATTTGTTTCGGTGTTAGAGCAAAACTAGCGTAGGCTATCAACTTCTCGTGTCCATCTATCATTTGTAGCAGCTCTCCACCGATAGCCTTATCGGATGCATCCGTGTCCAAAATCATCAATCTGGTTTGGCAGCGCGAGTACAGGCTTTTGCATTAACTTTGTTTTTAATTCCTCAAACGCCTGCTGCTACTCTTTTCCCCACTTGAAAAGTTTCTTTCCTGTAATGTTGTAGAGAGGAACAGCAACCTCCGCAAAGCTCTGAATGAACAGCCGGTGATAATTGGCCAAACCTAGGAATCTTTCCACTTCTTTCGTTGAGGATGGAACTGGCCAATCCTTGATGGCTGCAATATCACTATTTGTTGCCATTGTATCCTCGCCGATGATCCGGCCAAGAAACTCCACTTTTCTTTGACAGAACACACATTTTGTTAGTTTGAGTTTAATTCCGTAATACCGGAACCTTCGTAGGGCCTCAGCCACATTGTTCAGATGATCCTTGAAATCCCGTCCCAGAATCACAATATCATCCAGAAAGGCCAATACTGCCTTCCAATTCAGACCGCTGAGCACTAGGTTGATAACCCTGGAGAAAGTAGCTGGGGAGTTGCACAGACCAAAAGGTATCTTTACAAATTCAAAGAGTCCGTATTTTCTAATAAATACAGTTTTCTTCCGGTCCTTATCTGCTATCCTAACTTGCCAATAACCCCACACAGCATCCAGTTCAGAAAACCAATGATTTCCAGCTAGTGTATCGACACTGTCCTCAACTAGTTGTAGGGGGTACATATCCTTTACAGTCACATTATTAAGCGCTCTGTAGTCGATGCAATACCTCACTGTCCCGTCCCTTTTCCGGACTATTACAGGAGCTGATGCCCATTCAGAGACAGAGGGTTGAATAACACCTGCTTGATCACCTTGTCTATCTTTCCCTCCTCTTCTTTGGCGAAGTGTATAGGATTCCGTCTCATACGTTGTTTGACTGGTGGAGCACCCTGTGTATCAATCTTGTGCTCGATTTCCTTAAAGGTTCCAATGTCAAACATGTGAGAAGCAAAGACCTCCGAGAACTCCCTGATAACCTGTCAACTCATGATACTCTGCATCATATAAACACTGCCGTGACCGGTCTAGCATGTCTCTGAGATGTTCAGGAACGTCATCGTTGTTAGGCTCCTCAAAATTGGGTTGTATTGGGGCCCATTTGCATCAAGTGGTTGGCCATATCAATGCGGGTTCCCTGGCGTATAAGAAAGTCAAATCCAATTAGCATATCATCTTCTATTGGTGCCACATGGATGATTTCGTTACATACACCAGCTCCAATCCTGAGTTTTACAGGCCCTTTCTTCAGTCCCATCATAGATGTGTCTCGTGCTGCAGTCAGGAACTTCATTTTGCACAGGGTTTGGGGCTTGGGGTCCATTTGTTGATAAATCCTGTCGGAGAGGATAGTGGACTCTGTTGCCGTATCAACAATAGCATCCACTGTCGCATCTCAAACATGTACCAAGGTGTGATACAAAGAGTTGGATCTCACCCTGTTTAAACTTACTCCCTCCATTTCCTCCTCAACACTATTGCTGAACGCTGTCTGGTCCTGGTCACAACTGTCCATTGATGTAAACACATCGTCTGATCCCTCTGTCAGGAATGGTTTGGCTGTTTTTGTGCTTACCAACTCCACCGATTCCGGTGGTTGGGTGCTACCCGAACAAACCTGGAAACTAAATGACTCCGTACCCTCAAATTGA